GCGCTCCACGGTGATGAGGTGCCTCTCCAGGTGATGCCGAACCACGGGGTTTAAGCCCTCAAGGAAGCGTTCGGCGACTTGGTGTTTACTGACTCTACCGTCCAGCTTCTTCTCCAGCGCTAGCAACATGTCCTTGAAGACTATGGGAGAGAGAGCTCCCTGCTGCATGCTTTTGAAACGCGCAAGATCACTCTCAGCGCGCGCGGAGGCAAAGTTTTCCTCTAGGATGTGGGCGTAATAGTCAAACAGTTGACGCGGAGAGACGGTGTTGGCTGCCGCACCTGGTTCGGATACACCGAAGTGCGCTGCGGCTTTTGATATGAGGTTTTGTCTGTGGGAGTTGTACCACGCCTCGAATGGCGTGTTACGACCAGGCAGTGCATCAAGGTACGACTTCAGGCTTTCAACAGACAAGTTGTTCCTAGAAAGAGGGTAAGAAACTCCTTGCTGGAAAACCTTAGTGAGGAAGTCATCCAACCCGTTGTGCTGGAACGGGTCAAGGGTGGGGTAAAGGTTCTGCATGATGTCGTCGTCAGAATCGCTGTCCCTAGAAAAGATAGGGTTGATGTAGGTGCGGGGCCTACCTAGCGCTTCAAAGAGACGCGACCACTTGTCCCTATCGGAATCTGTTCCGAGGGTTTCTAGTGGAGCAGCAACCTCACCCTCAGTTTGAGCTAACTTAGTCAGGGGAAGTTCCACCTGTACTGCTAAGCCACTATCGGAACGCGAGCGCGGAATACGGGCGGCTTCGCTAGTACTAGACCCTGAGGTGGACACCCTACGCGTATCCTTACGCGAAGCCTTGCTTACCTCCTGCTGATCTCGCTGACTCGTCGAGCGAAGATGTTGCGCAGTGGCGGCCCGCGGGATGTTGCGACGTAGAGGCTCCGTGGGACTTATACTTCCCTGTGTAATAATTAGCTTACGAAAAACAAGATAAGAAAAAGGAAAAGAGAAAGATGCAGCAACAAACGCGAAGCGAACAGGCAAGGACTAAGCAATACAAAGCCTAGCGACTACTAAAAGTACTGAGCCCGCCCCACCTAAGCTGGTGTCGCTGTAAAGTTGCGTTGTATTGAGCTGCAAAACAAAGAGTAGCTGCGTAAAAACAGCTGGAATAATAGTAATCCTGGAAAGTGATGAGTACGTGGTGCAGCGTAATGATTGAACGACTGCTCTGTGGAAACCGCGTCAGCAAAAAGACAGAAGATCAACTCGATGAGGTTACAGTGATTATTCCATCATATCGTTGCGTGGAGACGCGCACAGGTCCGCGTATTCAAATAACGGCAGTCGAATATTCGCTCCCTGGGAGCTGGCTGTGACAAAGCTCGTAGGCCGCGGTAGCTGTTCGAGCTCGGGGTCCAGCTGCACTACTACTAGGTAGCGTATGCGGAAAATTGCTGGGCGAGGCTCTAAGTCGAAACGCACGCCTCTCGCCAACAGGCCTATGTCGACAGGCTCCGGCTCCTGGTCGAACGGATCGACCAAATGTGGATGATTAGGCTGATTAAACCGCCTGCGAAGGCCCTGCTGGCCCCGACCACCTTGATGATGATAACCTCGGTGGCGCACACCGAGAGGGTTACAACCCGCGCGTCCTCTGAATGGCCTTCTGTAATCTTCGTCGTAACGGTCCACTGCAGAAGCGGATTGAGGCTAGTAAAAGCAAACGAATTGGTGTGACTCCGTAGGATTCGGCCAGAGGTACGCGAAATGCTCGTTAAGCACAGAAGAGCTCGAACCTGCTGTTTAGGTGAGCTGAATATATAGTATAAGAAAAATGTTAGGCTGGGCTGACCAAGCCTAGATGGTAAAACGAGTAGATCGTATAAAGTATTCGGGATCGAGTGTTCGACAGACGGCTGTGCGTAACACAGTATCGATTGTAAAAGTGACCGAATACACAAGCAAATCGACCCAGTAGAAAATGGCCCGAAATTGCTGAATGGTAGGGCAGCTGTGCGTAACACTGCTGACCGGCTGCGGCTGGCGTGACCTAGCCTGCCTAACCTACCAAAAAGGGTGCTGGGAAAAGCAACCCGAATATCCCCTAGGCGACAGAACACCTAAGGTAAACCCAAAACCGAACTTACTTGGTCTTCTAGCCTGATTTTGGCTTTACGGCTATGGAATGCAGGGTGGTCTAGGCGAAGTCCTGCAGGTAGCTGGAATGCTGACTAGACGGCACACGAGCGGGCAAGTCGTAATACGCAGCAAATAGCAACCCGCGAAAGGGGCCAAGATTCCCTCCAGGCAACAAATCAACAGTGATAAAGATTTACCTTACCGACTGAGTATGCCCGGCGTGAAGGATATGGGCGTTGAGTGGCCCACACAGGAGTTCGGCTGGTGGAAGGAAGTTACTTATGCGGCTTAAGAAAAGGGAGGTCCGCACAGGGCTTGTTGTCTAACTCAGAGAACTTTACAATGTTCCAATCATGAGCCGTAAAGCGACTTTTCCAAGCTCGCTGCCGGCTATAAATACCGAAGTCACATTGTCGATCACAGGAGGCCCTCAAAAGATAAGCCTCGAGTACGACCACGACGTATAGTCCACATATGACAAAAGTGAAACACCTTATAACCCGTGTGACAGAACATTCACACAAGAAATAGACAATTCACAGGTAAAATACATAAACGTACGCAAACGAGCGTACATTCTCGTCTCGTCCATAAGTCCATCAGCGAAGTGTAAGATGAGAACCAAACACCTTACGCGATTATACACGAAATTCGCGTATTCACACCGATTATACCTAAGACGATTATAANAGACGGTAAAATGAACGTGACGCTAAAATGTCGTGACAGGTGGGCCTGGGAGGTGCATTAGTCTCAACAGCAGGCGCGGAGGCGGTGGGAATTAGCAACGGAGTAGCAGCGGCAGCGACAAAGGTGGGCCTGGGAGGTGCATTAGTCTCAACAGCGGGCGCGGAGGCGGTGGGAATTAGCAACGGAGTAGCCGCGGCAGCGACAGCAGGGGGGCTGGGAGGTGCATAAGTCTGAACAACAGGCGCGGCGGCGGCTGGAATTAGCAACAACAGCAGGCGCGGCGGCGGCGGGAATTAGCAACAGAGCAGCAGCAGCAGCGACGGTGGTGGGGCTGGGAGGTGCATTAGTCTGAACAACAGGCACGGAGGCGGCGGGAATTAGCAACGGAGTAGCCGCGGCAGCGACGGCAGTGGGGCTGGGAGATGCATTAGTCTGAACAACAGGCACGGAGGCGGCGGGAATTAGCAACGGAGTAGCAGCGGCAGCGACGAAGGTGGGAATTTAAGATGCATTAGTCTCAACAGCAGGCGCGGCGGCGGCGGGAATTAGCAACAACAGCAGGCGCGGAGGCGGAGGGAATTAGCAACGGAGTAGCCGCGGCAGCGACGGCAGTGGGGCAGGGAGGTGCATTAGTCTGAACAACAGGCGAGGCGGTGGCGGGAATAAACAACAACGGCAGGCGCGGAGGCGGCGGGAATTAGCAACGGAGTAGCAGCGGCAGCGAAGAATGTGGGGCTGGGAGGTGCCTTAGTCTCAACAGCAGGCGCGGAGGCGGTGGGAATTAGCAACGGAGTAGCAGCGGCAGCGACAAAGGTGGGCCTGGGAGGTGCATTAGTCTCAACAGCGGGCGCGGAGGCGGTGGGAATTAGCAACGGAGTAGCCGCGGCAGCGACGGCAGTGGGGCTGGGAGATGCATTAGTCTCAACAGCAGGCGCGGCGGCGGCGGGAATTAGCAACGGAGTAGCAGCGGCAGCGACAAAGGTGGGCCTTGGAGATGCATTAGTCTGAACAACAGGCGCGGCGGCGGCGGGAAATAGCAACGCAGCAGCAGCGGCAGCGACGAAGGTGGGGATGGGAGATGCATTAGTCTGAACAACAGGCGCGGCGGCGGCGGGAATTAGCAACGGAGTAGCCGCGGCAGCGACGGCAGTGGGGCTGGGAGATGCATTTATCTCAACAGCAGGCGCGACGGCGGCGGGAATTAGGAACAACAGCAGGCGCGGTGGCGGCGGGAATTAGCAACAGAGTAGCAGCGGCAGCGATGAAGGTGGGAATTTAAGATGCATTAGTCTCAACAGCAGGCGCGGCGGCGGCGGGAATTAGCAACAACAGCAGGCGTGGAGGCGGCGGGAATCCTTCAATCATAAGTTCTAGGCAGTCCTCCGGTTCCTTTTCCGATTCGATGTCTGAATCCGATACTGCTGGCTTCTTGATCCGGGCCTTGGTGGCCTTGTGTTGGTGAAGAGCCTCACGATATGATGCCACAGTCCCTGCCATGCGACGAACAAGCAGGTCTGGCAGCACCTCCTCATCCTCCCTCACGTGGACCGACCTCCGCCCCTCAGGCTCCCCCACCTGCTGTCCTGCCATGTGCGGAAACCGCGGGCGGGCATGGCTGCTGGTCCTGCAGCCGGCGGGGATGGCAAAGCAGTCGCCTCACCGCCACAAGACCGCTATAGGCATAACGTAATATGCAATGGCCTTTACATGACAGCCTATACCTGATCTTGTTTAGGCTATGTGGTAAACATGACTGGTATACAGATGTGTCTATGTGATGTTGTAAACAACAGTGCCTATACAGGTGCGTGTGTACACGAGTGCCTATTACAAGACTGCTATAGGCATCACATAATAGGCCTTCATGTTTACATGACAGCCTATACCTGACCTTGTTTAGGCTATGCTGTATACTTGCCAGGATGTTGTTTACATGTGTCATCTGTGTACAGAAATATATGGGATGCATAGAAGCTCAGGGGATTACAATTTTCACATATTCTTCATATGTTACTATCACACATCACACAAGGAATCTCAGCTCTCAGCCCACAATCCCTCAGTCTGCTTTACTAAATGAATAATCCACATGTTATCTGGCCTATTAAGGCTGCAACTCCAAAACACAACCAAAACACTTAACAGAATAAATTGTCCGACACTATCAGCACAACACAAACAGTGATTTCCTACTCCCATGAGCCCCAATTGATCAATCCTCCTCTACCCGGTCGTTATTATCTAGGACGTCTTTGCTACGCCTCGTCTGATGAAACTTCATCTGTGTCATCATCTTTTGACCACACGCAACCAGACTCCCATTGCTCCCATTCCTCGATGGCCATAAGCTTGTCCAATAGTGCCCGCGCTTCTGATGGGTGCAAGCTTCGCTTTTCACTCTCTTGAGACTGCTGTCTGACTTCTTCAGCAATATCCTCCAACACGACTGGCAAAAGGCCATGGGGTGGGCTGCCGATGAGCTCGTTGAGCACAAATTGTGCTGTGGGAACTGCATTGCCCATGGACTCTTCCACATCATCCATGCTTCTGCTGGAGGAACCACGTGTACGTTTGACTTTAACTTGGGAGATCCGAACAATGCACACTCTCTCGATAATGGACTCAAACGGGATACACCCATAAGCTGCTGCTGGTTTTCCAGTCACCCTGGAAGTGGAGGTTGTGTGGACAATCAATGGTTAGTGTTAGTGCAAGAGAGGGAGGTATACAACTGAAATTACGACTGTGTGTAAACTACTTTTATTACCTCTGCCATCGCAGCGGACGGAGATTCAGTTCACGGTTCCATTCATCTTCTGGAGCATCAAACCACTTAACATACACCACATCTGCTACCTTGTCTTTGTAGAGCACGCTGAGCAGTAGCTGCACCTGCACACAAGGGCCATGCACAGTGTTTTTTTTTTAAGTAATATATTACTTTTAAGGAATAAAGAGGCCTTTTTGGCATTTGGAAATAAGGAACAAAGTGAGGCCGATCCGTACATTTTCATTCCTTCAGCCAAAAACGTCCATTGCTGCTAGATTGCTCCGTAGTGTGCAGAACTTAGTATTATCGATCATAAAATAGATATGAGGGGCCGTAAGAAGGTCAAGCCCGTGAGTCAACGCGGCATAGCAGAATGTATGACCGGTCCTTCCATAGACAAACACGCAAAAGGCAACGACTTGAACGCCGAACAAACACAAAAACAGCAAGATAAGTCTAAAATTTTTCCTGATAAAGGCGTTTGGGACGGCGGTGCTGTTGTCGGTAATGCATCGGCAATGTTGCTGCCAGCGGCGACCGATGACACGGGCGCCATTACCCCTGCCTTCCATGGCGGTTGTGATCAGCATAAGCACAAGCTGTCACCCAATCAGCTTGACAACAACGAATGCGGCGAGGCGCCCAACCCGAGCGCTCGCAGTGCCAAGCGGGCTCAGACACAGCGCATCCGCAAGGGCATGAGCGACGGTGCATGGCGGGACAAGCAGAAGGAAAATCCCCACAGATGGCAGATTGCCTGGGCCGCC